GTACTTACACCTCCACCTGCATACATCGGATGATGCGGCAGGGCTTCCTTGTGTGAAGATAGTTATAGAGGATCTCATCTTAAATCCTATAAATGTTATTGATAGGTCTTAATAAGCTTGCTCTGGTTTAAACGGTTATCTATATTATTCTATTGTCGCCCTGATTCATCATATTCATATTGTGTTTCTAAATTCTTAAATTGGTGTTTGGTTTTCATACTAGTACTATTCGACGGTACTAATATCCTATTTTGCTGGGGGTGCTGCCACTTTAAATAGATGCAGGCGGTTCCATAGCAGGAAGTATTGATCAGTGATAGCAGTACATCTTCTTCCCAGTTGACTTGGTGAGCCCCACTTCATCCCGGGGTCATGTATCTATTATTTTTTGTGTATTCTGTTTGAGGTATAGCCGGGACCTTGTTGCCGGCATCATCATTGTACTCTTATTTATCTATAGAGGCTCTGTAGATATAGTGTGGGTTGTGTATTGGTGCTAAGAAAGACAAACTATGTTATGTTGTGGTTGTATTACTTATCCCATTTGGGACTTTAAAAATGATGAAAACTATTGGTAATGAATTTGTATTGTAGACATGATCACGTTTTTGTTTAACTAATGAAAATATGTATTATCTTCATTCGTGGATGAGTTTGGGTAGAAGAAAATCTAACAGGCTTGCTCGATCAGGTCCACTCGGTTGAGCGCTGGTCGCGCTCCTCGATTTTGGGACGTGACATCTACTTTGGTAAATAGTACATTTCTCTCCCCCGTTATACTATCAGGCCATTTATAGGCCTACCGTTAGGAAAGTGGGTAAAATTGACCTTATTTTTAACCCCTGTCCAACCAAGCAATTAAAACGCCATATGGAAAGCCACATTGGAAAGATCTGATCCAAGCCCTTTTAATATAACCCGTTCATCAGATGCCTTCTTCTTCCCAATACCACCACAAGCGTAAATTCTAGGGTTCAATTGAAGAGTGAAAATTTCTGCTCATCTATTCTCCTTTCTCGTCGAATGTGAAATGTCTCAAGGAAGCTCTTCATCTCAGATTAAGTGTCATTGTGATATGAAAGCCAGCCACTTAACTTCCACAACTATTTCTAATCCTAGAAGGAAGTTTTATAAATGTCCTAAGCCTGAGGTTAGTTGTTTTTGTTGTAAAGTTTTTTTTTTTCTCATTTGCATATGTTTTAGGCTTTTCAATTGTATAATTTATAAGTTTTTTAGTCTAAATGTAATTTAATGTTATTGACAAGTTTATTCATGCCAATTTTTCTTGTGGGAAGATGAAGTTTTTCCAGATTCACCTATGTATGCAATTAGAGAATTGGGGTCGTCAGTGGATGTTGTTAAGTTGGACATGGAGAAATTGAAGCAAGAAGTAGCTTCCATGGAGGCTAAAAACCATTCTCAAGTGGTTAAAGTTTTAACATTGGAAGAGAAAGTATCAAAGATGTGAATTAGTCTACTGATTTCATCGGCACTGTTTTTGGGATTCATTGCTGCTTTATTGAAGAAATGAATGGCTTAGGAGATGTGTTCATTGTAATGTTAGCTCTAGTTGGGTGTTAACTTGTAGGTGTCTAACTTGCGGGTATCTAATGTTAGGTTGCTTTTTTGCTTTGTATTGTTAAAATTTCCAACTAACAGTAACGTATATATCTTATGTTTTACTGGTTGTTTAAGTATACAGCTTTGTCACAATGTTAGTTCGTTGATATAGTTGTGATTTCCAAATATAACTTGTAGAGTATAATTCAACATTATTCATGAATGGACAATGAATTAGATAGCTGGACAATGAAATAGATAGCTGGACAGTGAATTTCATAGCTGGAAAATATGAATTGACATTAATTTTAGCAACATATCACAGCAATTACATAACTTCATTTATCAACAACATAATTCAACACCATTCAGTTAAAAGGACCCAAAAGGGATACCATTTTATAACCCCAAAAACTAATACCATCCAAGTAATAAAATGACATCAACATTAAATAGTTAAAAGGACCTAACACTTAAGTTAAAAGTACTGTCACGTGCAGTAATTACATCATATAAGATACTAAAAAGTATCACATGTTCAGAACTTGACTAGTTTTGTGAATTACCATTTCCCTTTCTTTACTTCAACTTGGATAGTCGTTGTCTCTCTAGTTCGTTTCCTGTTATGGCAGTTTTTTCTCTCCATGTAAGATTTTTGGGTGAGTAAAGAAATTGTGTTGGCAAACTCACACCATGTTATACCTGATACTTAAGTTAGGACATTTAAGTCATTAGCCTAATAAATAAAAGAAAAAAAATTACATGGGACAAGGCCCATCCTATTAACACATGACGAGAATTAGGGATTGGGAAAGCCAACTCCAAACTTAAAGAAACTAAAAAAGGTGTTGCTGGAACAACTACTTGGACCTCAACATCATTGACAAGCAAGTGAGGAAAAGATAAGTTGTTGGTAATAAAATTTACAATTAAAGGAAGGAGGATTGGACCTATATAACAGCTTCAAGTGAAAACTATTCTTCGGCAAACAAAAAAGGTTAATTTTTCCCTTTCGTTGATTCTTCTTTAGTTCTGTTGGATTCCTTTAAATCCCGATTTCTGTGTTTATGGGATTCTATTGGGTATTGAAAATTTAATACAAAACAGATGTTGTAGACAATAATATTTAAGTTTCAACTTATATACATGATTAAGAAAATTGAATAGTACAGGGAATAAACTATATAATTGCCTTTTTATTTGAAAGATTTTGGACTAATTTAAATTACTCATAGCATGAGTAAATATAATTCGACGAATTGATGATAAAATATAAAACTCGGAGGATTGGGTATTCTAAATTAGTGATGAATTTAGCCAAAATAAGGTAATTAACACGAGATCGATGTTGATGTAGTTATAGATTGATCGAAGAAAGTCGTACGGATCGCTCGATGTGTCGAGTTGGTATTTCATAGTACTGTGAGTAGTAATCTTATCGCAATTTATATTTTTATAACTTGCATGAGTTACACATAATTTTTAATATGAATATGTTACCGATTATTTTGAGTTGCATGTGGGACAAGTCTTTTACTCAATATTATACCAAAATAGTTATTTGAGATGATTATTGTTATTTTAAATATTCCTGTTGTCACTAGATCTGTTTTACCATTACTTGAATTTACTGTTATCGAAATGAATTACATGATTTGATAAGAACCGAAATGCCCTATATTGTTTTAAAATGGGAGTAGACATTGAAGGATCCCGTAGCTAACGGCGGGTTCGTTAGACTTGGTGCACCTTGTAATTATCGATTACCGTTACAGCCCTCACTAGTGAAAAGCTAGAACTAGCATACTGTTACTGATTCCCTCGAGTAGCAACTACCTTTATATTTGACTTCTTGCGAAGAACTTCACAGTTATATCGATTACATTATCCGTTCATTGAAACCTACCAAATATGAATATTGATATTATACGGTGGGTACCGAGCTTATTACTGAATTGTCAATTGTATTATACTACAAGAAAAATATGATGGGACTGAAAATTGTTTATTGTTTATTAAAAGGGCATTTTTATGATATTTTCTATTTAATATACTAACATATTTTCTGACTTGTACACAATAAAAACGGTTGTGGTTAAGTGTTATTACTCACTGAGCTAGCGACTCACTCTTCGCTATTTTTTTTTACCAAGACAGCAGTTGACGCAGACGAGGATTTCGTTAATTAGAGCGCACATGTTAATAGTTCTTGGTGAGCCTCAAACTTGTTCGCATGGACGAAGATTTTATTTATTGTTATAGTCTTTTATTTGAACTCTTAGAGTCACTCCATAGTCATTATTTTAATATCATGAGTATTCTTTTGTTATTATAGACTTATGATGAGTATTGCACTTTTTTATCGAATATGGAGATAAATTGTTATTTCTGATTATTAGTGGGTTGATTAGTAATGGAGGAGATTTGTTTTGGTTAATTGATAAGTTGTTGATTGTTTGGTTTGATTTTAGGATGGTTGGTTATTGATTTTGAGATAGGAAAAGCTTTTGTTGGATAGTCCAAAAATAGGAGAAACTCTGTCCGTTTATTTGAAATATACCGATAAGGCTTTCTTGGGAGAACTTGCTCCTGAGCGTCGGTCATGATCCTAAATTGGGTCGTGATACACCACTGGCATCAGGAACAAAGTTAATAGTCCTTATTCTAGTTGTTGTACCTAGTTTCTCCCCCCTTTGGAGTCTAGTCTTTGCCTCTAACACACGCCTTGGCAATATAGGTGGGTCTGGATTGTATGTTTCTGGATAGTCAAAATCTGCTGATGCATTACTGATGAATTTCTTCCTAGACAAAGATGGTGTTGGCATAAACATGTAATGAGGTCCAGAATTGTTGTTGGCTTGACTGGCTTGTGATGGTGTTAGTTGCAGCTCCTCTTCTAAGGACAGCCCTGCGGTAGCTGGAGATCTGGCCATGGTGTCCTCAACATCCTCATCAACTAGTGTTCTTGGCCTTTTTTTATTTTCTTACCAACTTGTGGCTGCTTTCCCTTGCATTGCTGTCAAAGTAATAAAGTAACAAAATTCGTACTGTATGTTAATTTAGTGAAGTAATATAGTAATGGTGTCAAGTTACCTTTTGACATCCCCTAGCATTATGTCCAGGCTTTCCACATGTAGAACAAGTCATCACCCTGCCTTTTCTGGATTGATACCACTCCCCTTGCCTATTTATTATCTCATTATTTTCTCTAGTCCTCTTCACTTTAGGCCTACCAACCATATTCACTAGCAGGGGAGGATCCATTGCATGAGCTAGCTCTATCTTTTATAACTTCTCTCCTCTAATTGGTTCTAACTTATGTGCATAAGTGGAGAGATAAGCCTCCTTGGTGAACCACCAATGAATCTCACACAAAGGGTTCATTTATTTTTGTACAGTAATGCTCTAATGGCATGAGGACATGGGATTCCAGTGAGGTCTCATGTTCTGCAAGTGCATTTTTTCAGTAAGATATGCACTCTATGCTTTTCAAAAGTTCCTTCATTCACCTCATAACCATCTTGTCTATTAGAATCAACAATACCTTTTTGTGCACTATTCAAGAATTGATAATATAACTGCATGGTATGAGGACTTACATTTTCAGTCCATGTCATCACATCACCTTCATGCTCTCTCAACATATTCATCACCTTAACTCTTATGTCCTCAAGAATTCTAATAATTGGCTTGTGCATAACATCCAGTATCCATGAGTGTAAGGATTCGTTATTGTCCACTTGTTGGTTCTTGCATACTGTGTCAAAGTATGCTCTACACCATGATTGTGGAGGAAACCTCAACAAGTCTTCAACAGCTTCTTTATCAATTTCCCCCAAGTTTTTCAATTGATCCTTGAAGTCTTCTTCATAACTACTCCATGCACACCACCATAGGTACTTTTTTCTCAAATCTCCAGCACCACATCTTCTACACCAATTAGTCTCTATGTGCCTCACATAATATCTATGGTGTGCATCAGGAACTACTGCCTGAACTGCCTCAATCAAGCCTTACATATAAGAATGCAGAAAATTAAATATTTAAAATAAAAAGGAAATTGTTAATAATTTTAAAAGAATAACATTGAAATGAAATAGTATAAGTACCTTCTGCATGTCTGACATAAATGTGTATCCTCCCCCCAGCTTGAGGTCTAATAAATTGTTCAATAATGTCAAGAACCAGGTCCAGGTGACCTTTGTTTCTTTATCCACAACAGCCCGAGCAATAGGATAAAGATGATTCATTGAATCTAGAGCAACAACAATTAAAAGTTGTCTTTTGGCCTTTCCTTTCAAGAAAGTTCCATCCAAGCCAATAAAGGGTCTCAACCCATTCTTAAACCCCATTTTTAGAGTATGGAAACATATATACATCCAAGAAAATCTTCTTTTTCCTTCAGCAAGTGCATCCTTTTATAAGGTAATTATTACATCACTCCCTGGATTACTCGACCTCAATTCATTAGCATATGCCTCTATCTTATTATACTCATCAGTAAAACTATCAACAAGGGATTCAAGTATCATTCTCTTGGCCCTCTTACACTTTGCATGACTAACATTGATGTTGAATGTGTTTTCAATAGCACTCTCATCTCCTTAACTTTGATCATAGAATTCTCCTGCAGCTTGTTCTTAAAATATTATGCTATAGTATTAAAATCAATAATAGGGTTGTCATATGCAGGGCTACACCTATGTTTTAACTAAAGAGTTTTGATCTTGAGCCCGCTGCCATTCTTATCCTCAGAGATGAGACAAATAAAGGGGCAACCAACCTCACACATGTACCTTAGTCTTCTAGTGTCACTCTTGAGTTGTTTTAAACCATAACAGTTTGCTAAGCAATACAAATTTATTATTTTTCTAGCCTCGGGTATATCTTTGAATGTCATTCCTTTTTACAGTTGTTTGTATTCAATCAACTTATTAGAAATCCCCCTCTTTATTTGTAGTGCAAGTACTTCTAAATATTCAATCATAATCTTAAAAAAACAGTATCATTTTCACTCTCATTTGAACTACAATCAGTTGCAACCTCATAATCAATTGTTTGTGATTCATTGTGGTCGACAATATTAGGAACATTAACCCCATTTCACTATCCTCTACAACAAATACATTAATTATATTGAAATGGTCAGAAGCCATATTTTGCAGAGTCCTAATACCCTCATCCCCTGTTACTTCATTATATCTACCAAAAGGACTACAAACTATCAGTTGTTGAACACCAACATACCCTGTGGTTGAGGAACAATATAATGGAAGTAATATTTGCTACCTTAATTTGCTTTGTTTGGAATCTATATTAGTACTTATTATTTTCTAAAGAATCACACACACACCCAAATACAACTTCTTTTAATCTTTTCAGGCAGAAGCGGGTTTGGGTTAAGGAACAATATAATCTATATTACTATGACTGTGTTTATTTCAATTAGAAAAGCATATCCATCAAAAGTCAACGAGGTTGCCAATTTTGACACACACACACACACACCTATATATATATATATATNAGCAAGATACCCATTTTTACTTTATCTAAAACACCCATATTAATTGTCCATCGCCTTGATAAATTTTAAACAAAATTGTCATTTTACTTTCAAGTGAAAAACATACTACAGACCTGCATTTACAATTGAACTGAATCCCCATATTCCTGACAGTATTCCTGGCTTCCTGTGATCTATCTGTAACAAGCCTCAAAAGTTTTTGTTTCTTAACGTCTACCTCGCAAACAACTTGCCCAAATAGTAGGTGCCACTGGAAAGTACTTCGGAGCGGAAGCTATTTTTTCTATTTCTCAAAAACTGCTTCTGCTTCTATTTAAACAAACCTTTTTCCTTATAAAAGTTTGGCCAAAGAGCTTTAACTTAGGGAAAAACACAATTTTAGCTCAAAAGAAGCATGGCCAAAGTGGCTATTAATCTCTAAGATAATGAACCGCAGAAAGTCTTATACGTGCAAGTCCATTAGAGCTCCATATTCTGACTATTAGGTATAGAAAGGACTAGGATTTCTCTTCAAAACACCAAGAAAGGAAGGATCTTTATCCTTTCTATTTTCGCTAGCAAATTTCTTTTAAATATTTGAAACACGACTCTGTGCAGCAATGTCAGAACAATATTTGGGTTTACATAAACACTGACATGTTTGCTTATTTGTTTCAACTCTTTCGACACTGATAAGAACTGGCATCCTCAATGGAGTTACCAACTATACCTTGCACTGATCAATAAGTTAGATTTTGTACTTCTTTTGCTACAGATAGAAAGACACATTAATTTCAGAATGAGAAAAAGGAATAAGAAAATAAGGGATCCTCTTCACCTCTAACTCATCTGCTAAAGCAAGTTAATACCAAAAAAAGAAATGAAAAAAGAGACGACTTGACTCAAAAAGGGTGTACAAATTTCATATAACCGGAAGAATCATCCCATTAGCACTCAAAAATAAAATATGCTCCTTGAAATTCAATATGAATTAGAGGAATATTGAGGCTCCAGTGTCACTACCAACTTGGACATTGTCTCTCCCATGTCTTCCACTTCATTTTTTCCAAAACCCCAACTTTGGAGCAATACCATAGGAATGGATTGCACTTCAATAGATCCCCTAGATGAGGAACCTAAAATTGGGGTCTCCAATAGCTCACCGTGTTGGCCAACCATATTGCCAAAGATCGAAGGAAAATGCAACAGTATCGGAAGAGGACAAGTAGCAGCTGATAGGGGTGAGAATTTGTGCATCTCCATTGAACTATCATATGTATCCTGAACTGCATCCTTAACTTCATAAATTGAGGCCCTCTGGTTTCCTGAAAATTAAATGAAAAACTACAGTTAAACTAATCAAGTATATGTGCATAAGCTGTATACAAGAAGGTGTAAAGAGATGCACCATTAAAACTCAATGAATAGCCCAATATGCTATTACATGTGGGCTTTCATTCACTTTACACATCTTAGATTGTCACGAACCAAAATTAACCCCCTGTCATGATGGCGCCTATCGTGGAACTAGGAAAGCCGACTCATTTCCAAAACAAAACGATATTTTCATTTCAAAGATAATTTCAAGGTTATCTAACATAAAAACCTCTATTTAAAGAGTTCAAATCAAAGAAAAACAGAAGTGCGGAAAAGAAAAGTCCGATATCAGGGTGTTACTAGTCATGAGCATCTACTATAATCTGTCTAACAATATCAAGGCTAACTCAGCCTAGAATAATAGCTAAATACTACTAGAATAAGATAAAAGGGAGAAGAGCAGGGGCTGCGATCGCCAAACAGCTACCTTGTTATCTCTAAGAAAATCTGCAACCAGAACACTCAATAACTGCTACCGTGTCCAGCCACACCTGGATCTGCACACAAGGTGCAGGGAGTAACGTGAGTACGCCAACTCAGTAAGTAACAACAATAAATAAAGACTGAGTAGTAGTGATGAGCAATAAAGTATATAACGTTCATATCAGGAAATCTCAGTAAAATACCACTTGCCCTTAAAAATCAGGATTTGAATCAAACATCTCATTTAAACCTAGTTCCAATAAAAATTATTTTTATTTTCCAATAGTTTTTCAAACAAAGGATCAATGCAAAGGTGAGCAAAAATGATGAAATCATAAAAAGCCACTCGGGCAGACCTCACAGTCACTCGTGCCACTCGGGCATACCTCACAATCACTCTTGCCACTCGGGCATACCTCACAATCACTCTTGCC